ATCATCCCTAATTTGTTATAAGACCTGAACTTAACATGACCCACGGATGATTATATGTTTTTATAATTAAACTGGTTTTGTTAATTTGGTACAAGCCCACTAGTTAGTTAAAATGGATTATCGTTCCAAAATAAAAAGAAATACAAAAGTACAAGGAAGACACTCAGCTAACTACCTCTCATTACCCTCCACCTCCAAAGTCCAAACAATCATTGTCATTTTATAATCCATTTGAGGCTCTAATGCACCACATGATACTGTTAGATCATATCAGTAATATTTGGAAGGTTCAATTTAGTCTGATTACACATAATTCACGGTGCGTGCGTATCTGACTGAGGGAGAAATATAAATTTGAAATTTAAGAAATTGCAAAAATTATAAAAGAGAGCCCAACATTTTCTCTAATAACACAAAAGTCACAGGCACTTTGGTAAATTTTCCAAAGTTTTAAACTAAATAAAATTAATATCTTTAAAAAAAAATATTTAAACTTTAGACTCTCAAGTAAGCTATTAATATAATTTTCACTAATTCGCCCTTTTCAATAAAATATAATTGGGAGATAATAATAATTTTTTTAATTTTTTTTAAGGTCATTACAAAAGCTGTTCAAGTCAATTTATTTGCTCTTTGCTCAGGCTTCTTTCCTCTACAGTTCCTTTCCGTCCCCCATGCGGTTGCTAGTAGCTTACACGAGTGGAGTTAGGCTAGCTGTTTAGTTCGTCGCCAGTGTTTGTGATCACCGTGAATCTGCCACTGTCAAGGCCGAACTCGCAAATTTGTCCACTCCTCTGTTCATCCATTGGTCTTCTCTTCATGCGATAATGATGCCTGAATCTTTCTTTCTTCTCTCTCTGTTAATGTGCTGCCATGAGACCGTCTCCCGTCTATGCTGTTTGTGTGGATGTTTCAAGATCTTCTTCTCCCTCCTTCATTCTGTGTCCTACTTTCTCCATTTTTGCTTGACTAGAACCTCCTTTTGTTTTGCTCTGTCGTGATCACATGTGAGTTAGGGAGGTTCAACTTCTTCTCTTCATTTCTTTACTGCATTGGTGGTAGGTCAAGATGCATCTTTCTTCTATTTTGTGTGTGCATTTGTATGATGTGGCTGAAAATGAGTTTTTATTTTCTCCCCTTAAATTGCAGCTGTTATGCATGTTAGAAGGATAATCAAATTAAGCTTGAGTTTAAGAACATGATTTTTGATTGATATTCCAATTATTATTATTATTATTATTATTATTATTATTATTATTATTATTATTGGTTAAAGAATTGAAATTGGGTTGGCTGATTGAATTCAATATCAATTTTGTGATTTGTAGGAAATGAGATTTAAGGGAAAGAGGTTTGGTGTTAATCTGAGAATTAATGGATGATAAGTGTTCAATAAAATGCCTCTAGGAGAGTTTTGCTTGAATATCTTAGATTTATGAAATTTAATTAGTTATTGTGATAGATACATTTAGTTTGATTGTTATTGATCCATGAATTTAGCTTGTAGGTTACAAATTAAAGGAATTTAATTATTATGAATTTGTATATGATTTTAAATTCTTGGGGATAGAATGGTTATTAATAAAGTGTTGGATAAAATATGATAGGTTAGAAAATTCTAATTATATGGTTGGAAACAATGTACCAAAGAGAAGATGTTATCTCAAGTAAATAGGTTGATATGGCTAAAGCATTATTGAGATCTTATTTAAGCTCTGAAATTATTGAGAATTATAAGGTTAAAGAGTGTACAGGGTATATTATCAATGTAGAACACATACTTGCGGTGTTTGGAAATGGTTAGTCAAGAGAATTAAAGGTTATATGTTTATTCAATGGTTTAGAATGTCGTACATTAGATGTTTGGTAAAAAACCTAAGGAAAAACTTTTATGTATAAATTTTATTGCTAAAATTTCAAAGTTATTTTTATTTTGTTTTGTTGAATGGATTCCCTTTAAAGAGATTTATTGATTCAAAAGTAAAGTTCATTAAAATTTTATTATACTTTATAGGGTAATTGTAAGGAAGGTAGCTTGGTTGGAGTTGTAAGAAATAAATTTTGAGTTTTAAAGATTCTATAGGTAAGTGGATAGCGTTTCAACTGATATTTCATTAAAATCTCTTTTATTCAAATATTACATTTTTATGCAAATTCTTTTTACGACAATAATGTGATTATGAGATATTTTGTTGATTAAATTATTTTATTTCGTGAAATTATTTTACCAGAATTGATCATTTTGATTAATCAGTAAATACAGGTTTGAATTCTAATTGTGGGATTTTATTTTAGAAATTATTGAATTGCTACGGAAAAATAATTCATGTGAGTTCGACATTGAAAAGGAAAATTTGATTGAATAATGATCAATTTCTCACATGTTTGAAATTGAATTTGAAAGGGACTTTATATATAAACTGGCTGCTAACAGCAGTTCCGTTAGCCCTTGATACACCATGGTACACCTAGTTAGCAGGGTGTTTATAGGAGGTGCTAATCCCGTGCGATGGCCAACGCACATGGAATGGAGGGATGGTTATTCGTGAGCATCGTACTCACGTTTGTTTTATGGCTTCAAGCCGCTTTTGATTAACGTTACCTTCATGGACTGTGTGTCTACGTTTGTTTTATGGTTTCAGTTGCGTTTGGTTTCTTACCTTCGTGGACTAAGTGTCCACATTTGTTTTCATGGCATAAGCCGCATTTGATTAATTACCCTTGTGGATTGTGTATTCACGTTTGTTAATTATTCTGATAAGTCCATATATTTATAAATCTAATCGTTTGATGATTTCATATTCTATTAGTTTTTATTTAGTAAGTTATTTATAAATATTTATTTCATTTATGTGCTTTCTTGAAATCAAGTGATATTATCATTTTTTATGATAGTTCAATGATTTGAGATTTTATTTGAAATTTATAGAGCCATTTTATTATGAAGTTTATAAAATTTTTATGAAAATTTTGTCTATTTAACTTACATGACTATTTCAAACTTTTTATTTTATTTATATTCTATTATTTATTGTTGGGACGTTATTCATTGGAAAAGATATTTTGGTCTCAAATGTTATAGTTGAACTCATGACTCAAAATATCCATTGAGGAGTTTTATTGCTGAATTGAAGCAGAAGAATTATTTTAGTCAAATCCTAATTTGATGAAAAAATTGAACTTTATATCTATGTTGGCGTTTGGCCTTAGGTGCTCCACATAGATTACAGGTAGGATCCTTACATTTTTTTCAAAATTGAATATCTAATCTAATATTGTAACAATTTTTAATTACTTTATTAGTGTGTTTAACATATTAATTTCAGAGTTTCTCCGATCAAGGCTTAAGGGATATGAGTTTTGTACCCATATCCCGTGCCGGTCACACCTGATTTTTGGGGCGTGAGAATAAGATTACACCTAACTAATGAAAAAGCACTAATTAGCTCTTCAAGCTACAATTTAACTCACCATAAATTCAAAATTATTTTTTAATTTAGTTATTTATGTCTATCTCTCTAGGTTTAAATTAATTTTTCACTTTTAAGTTCATCAAACAAACTACAGCTGCCTATATAATAAGAGAATTAAATTGAGAGAGATAAATATAAATATAAATATAAATTTTCATAGACAAAAACTCATGTCTGACAGGAAAAATAAATAAACAAAATTTAAAAAAGAAAATTCATTAAATCCAGGTTACTCCCTATCCTAACTGGGAGTTTAGAAAGAATTCAAAGAATTATTGTAAACATTCCAATAAGATACATAAACTAAAGCTAGAAAAGAGAAAAGAAAAAAAAACTCTCAACTTAGAAGAACTCTTCCAAACTCCGTGCTTTGCCTCCTAGCTCTCAGATATGAAATTAGATGACTTAAATGAGACTCTTCAAGGCTTCTTATATAATTAATCTCCCTAAAAACCTAAAAGATCATTAGTCCAAGTGTCTTAGCCGTTTTATTTTAATTCTTTTAATTCATGATTAATTTTGCAGCTGTCATGCATGCGTCTTTGATTTTTCATCCGCCTGTGATCATGCCCTTTGTAATTTCATCTGCTCACAGTCGAAGCACGTACCAACCTCTCATCCGCTCGCTGGCTTGTCCTTTGTAATATAATTTCATCCCCCCGCGGTTAAAGCACATATCAGCATTTTTATCTTTTCCTCATCTATGACTGAATGTGATCTGATTCTTCATCCTTTTACTGCAGTTTTAGTCCTTTTCGACTCCCTTTCTCTGCTAAAACACATAAAGTACTCAATGATGCAATATACTATTCTATTTTCTAACTAATTTTTATATCAAAATTAGTTCAAATTAAGAGCTAAATCATAAAAGAAACTGTGTATAAATTGGACCCATCACCATCCAAGTTATTAATGGAATGATGCTTATAAATACAAATGGTTAAAATTAGTCTATGAGCTTTTATAGTTTCTCTAAGTTTTAAATTAAGTCCTTATTATTTATTGTGTTTTAATTAAATTCTTATAACTTGACTGTTATATCTATTAATTCCTGATCAAGGTTAAAAGTCTTGAAATTTTTCTTAAAAGATGAAAGTTAGACACTTTTATATTTTTATTAAATGATTTTATAACTTTAGAATTAATTACATAAATTCAGGTCCTATTTAATAAATAATTTTTATACATATAGAATTTTTATAAACATTCTAATAAAAATGTGAAAATTGTATTAAATTAATTTTTTAGCCAAAATTTGTATAAACATTAAGTGTTTTTGTTGTGGAAAAACTAATCTTTCATGAATAATTTTAACCTTTAGGGATTAAAAGATTTAATAGATCAAACTATAAGAGCTCAATGAAAATAAAATAAATAATAGGGATTAATTTAAAATTGAGAAAAAATTTATAAGAACCTGCAAATTAATTTTTCTTAAGAAATACAAAGAAAACGGGCAATATAAAAAAGTTATAACAGCACGTATAGAGCTCGCCTATATTTAACATGACCCACGAATGATATATGTTAATTAAGTAAATCATCAAGTATTCAATTTAAAAGTGTCCGAAATTGTGCTGCCCAACTATATATACATAGTCATTCGATTTATTGATATAATATAATGTGTGCCCGTGGTTCGGGAGGTAATTATTCATCCACTTATTATATGAAAGAATAAGCACGCTTTCAAAGAGGCGACACATAACTATATATATATATATATATATATTTCTTAGCCACCATAACTAAGAAGCTTCTTCTTCATGGCTCCGAAGCATTTCTACAACTTGGCTCATGGTGGGCCTTTCATCTTTGTCATCTTCGACGCATTTCAAAGCCACACTTGCCAAAGTTTCTATCTTCCTCATCTCAATCTCAAAATTCGACGCAATGGCAGGATCCATTATTTGCGCTACCCAACTTGACCCTTTCCGATCCGACGTCGTTTTCTTCCTCTTCTCTCTCGCCCACGGCACAAGCCTCCCATTCATTGCCTCTTCTCCTTCTTCACTCAGACTTGCCATCGCCATCGGACTCCTTCCTGTTATCATCTCCAGCACAACAATCCCATAGCTATACACATCCACCTTTGACGTTATTGGCAGATTGAAAATCCACTCGGGTGCCATATATCCTCTTGTTCCTCTTATCATTGAGAAGCTTTGGGTGTTTTGGTCACTTCGATTTAAAAGCTTAGATAACCCAAAATCTGCAACCTTGGGTTGGTATTTTGAATCCAAAAGAATATTCTGTGGCTTTATGTCACAGTGCAGAATCCACTCCAAGCATTCTTCATGTAAGTAGGCTAGAACCCTTGCTGTTCCAAGGGCGATGTTGTATCTTTTTGTCCAATCTAGAGTGTTTGATTTGAGATTTTGAGCTAAAGAACCATTCTCCATGAACTCGTACACCAATAGCCTGTGCTTTCCCTCAGCACAATAACCCCACATTTCAATCAAGTTCATGTGATTAAGCCTACCGATTATGGTCATTTCAGCCCGGAATTCTGCTTCCTCTTGTTTGGCCCCAACATTAGTGTCATTGAGCTTCTTTATTGCAGCAACTCGTCGATCTGACAATACTCCTTTGTACACTATTCCACCTGCTCCTCTTCCAATTTCTTCTTTGAACCCTTTGGTTGCTGTTTTTAGTTCCGAGTAAGTAAATTTTCTGAACCCAAAAGGAGAAAGAAAATTGTAGCCTTGTTGATTTGCTTTAGAGTTCTGCTTGGTTCTATCCAAAGAACACCAGATTAGACATATACATAGGACTTCAAGCGCTCCTACTGCGATTGAAAACCAAAGGAAGAACTTCACAAAACTGTTGACGTGTCCTGAGGCGTATGCTCTTTCAAGCTTCACAAAACAAACTTGACCATTATCATGATCAGATTCTTCTTCTTCGAAGAATGAATTGCTATTGCTATTGCTTTTGTTTTGAGGAAGTCTTATGTAGGATGTTCCTAGAAAGGTCGGTGAATGACGACCATTGATCAGGATCCTTTTGATATAGCATGTAAACACACTGTTCTCTTCGAACGTGAACTGAAACACCTTGCACTCACAGTCTTGAAGGCATAAATCCCGACAGTTTTTGTAACTAGTGTTTTTCACATAGACATAGTCATTTCCGTAAAACTCGACATGGGGAAATTTTAGGAAATTTGAGTCGCATGTGTGTTGGAATTTGGATTCACACCCATAAGACCAATCGCTATGGTTCTTGACTCTGTATCCCGGAAGACACGAGCATGTCCTTCCTTTTCTTGGATTGTACTTGCATATACTATTGACTCCACATATTCCATGAACAATACAAGAATCAGGTATAGCTTGCCACGATACATACCATTGATTATTCTGCTGTAAGCTGTACACTCGAATGTTCCCATCGGGATCGATTTTCAATCTTCTTTGCATGAATGCCCCATGATCCGATGTAGTAAATTTAAACTGATCCGTTGAAATGAAACTGCCAAAAGAATCCAGCACTGCGATTCTACTACTATTGTATGTGGACCTTCCAGCTTCAAAGCTGGTGAGATATGGTGGTGGCCAGTACACGCTGGAGATGTCGGCGGTATCGTAAAGAAGGCGAAGAACATTGTCAGTGTCGAAGAATAGCTTGTAGAAGCCAGAGGAAATGTTGGTGTTGCTTCTTGCAGAAACAAGCTGCGTGTGTTTCTTGAGTTGTTGGCCACCAAGCAGAGTGTCTGTCGGGAAATCAAAGCTCTGCCATAGAATAATCGTCTCTTCTGAATGGATCTCCGAGAGTACGAGATTTCCATTGTCGTTGAGAGTCAATCGAGTCGGCCATGACGAGGTGGTTTCACTTGACCATACGTTCCTCTGCGCAGCATCGGAGAGAACAAGGTTTCCCGTTCTGAGAAGGGAAAGTGTTGACCGTTTTCCATTGACAGGCTGGTTTCGATTGGCTGTCCAAACCACAGCTGAGTTTGGGGAAGATTGAGGTAGTCGAGTGAACCAGATGGCGAAGACACATGCGTTTTCACCGATGACATAGAAGCCAGCACTGAAGGTTCCATCTGGTGAGACAAGAACATCTTCTGGTTTATCCACGGAGAGGGAGAAGCCACTATCAAGTGTTGATGATGAAGATGAAGAGTACGGGAAAGACAATGAAGATAAAAGAAGGAGTAAGATTGATGAAACAGTCATATCAATCATTTCAACAAGGTTGTTTGTTGGTAGTAAAGATATATGAATGAAATGATCGACAGTTGGGTTGGATTATATAGAAAACAGGAGGCTTGTCAGCCAGCCAGTCTTCGTCAATAGGAGATTTTTCATTCATTTTCGTCATTTTGAGAAATGCAAGATGCAAGCTCAACCAATAGAAAACCCTTGACTTTTATAACTAATCATTACTGCAAGCGGCAAATAGTACAAAACTGTAGTTTTGATGGTAATTTTAAAGAGAAACTTGCATAGAAATATTCTCATACTTTATTATCAAATTTATTTTTGTTTAATTACTCATAGGTATTTTTTAATGGAAGACAATTCTATTTAAAATATCATGGGTACTAAATGTGTGTATATATAAATACATTTATTAGTAATTTTTTTGAATTAAGGGTCATTTTTATTCTTAAATTGTACATGAAAAGTTATAAATGACATTAAACTCAATTATGAGTTAATTATATCTCTTAACATTAAAAATTTTCTCAATTATCATCTTGATATTAAAAACATTTAACATCCATTAGTCATCATATCAATGGGGTCTATTATTTTTATAATATTTTTTATCAAGTTAAATGTTATTTTTTGTCCCTCAATTTTATTTAAATGGTTAGTAGGCACTCTCAACTTAAATATTTTATAATAAAATAATATTAAAAAAAATATAATATAGGTTCACTAACAATGAAAAACGGTAAGGTAATAAAAAAAGAAATTTTAGAAATTAAAAAATAAAATTGTCTCATAGTTAAATTTAGATTATTGGTGATATTTTGTGTATAAATATAAAAATGACCCTAACTTTTTTTTTTTGGACAAAAGCCTGAGAACGGCAAATACAAGGTCTCGCTCACTAAAGTACAAAATATATTGCAGGCAAAAAAAAAAAAAAGAGTACAAAATAATCATATACATTCACACCAAAGTTCAAAACAATTATAGGAGAATTTTGCTAAAAAAATATAGAATATACTCTGGAAACATCATACGTTTTAGTCCTTCATGTTCAATTTTTTTTTTCATTCTATCACCTGCTATTTTAAAAAATCTAGGATATTACTATAAGATATTGGGAAAATTACTGCTAGGGACTTGAAGAAAATAATATTTATTGAAAAGGATCTTAAAAATAGTAATTATTGAGAAGGACCGAATATCAAAATATAAATTTTAAAATACAAAATTTTCACTAATCAAATTTTCTATATTTTCTTTAATCAAATCTCAAATTGAATTTGAAAATTACGTTACTGACAGTAATAAATAAACAAATAATACTGGAAATAAAAACAAGATTATACTGATTTAATTTTTTTAAAGTAATGATTTTAAAATTATATTCAATTAATGATTTTTAAAATATATTGATTTAATTAAATTTCATATTATATTTTTGTTTTTATTTGTGTCGAATTTTTTATATTTGGACAAAATATTTGTGTAGAATTGAAATCCACACAACTTTATTTTTAAAAGATTTTTTAATGTAATTTATGCCATACCATTAATTTTAAGGTATTATTAACAAGTTTTATATTAAGATTATGATAGTCAATTATATTTGTCTTGGTCATTCAACCTAATTTTAATTTTTATAATCCTTTATAATAAAAATTATTTTTCCCGTGTCCTTAACAATCATTTTCCCTAAAATATTAGTGCATTCACACGTGCCGATTTCTAATAATTGGTTGGAAAGGCCGGCAAAAATTCTTTGACCGAAATCACATGATACTCGCGCATACTAGTCCTTTTTGCTCAAAACCTATTATAATCTATAATTTATTAGTATATTTTCGTTGATGTTGAAATTCAATAACATAAGCCTAAAATAATGTTGAGAAATGAGAAGTATCTTCCCATATTCTCTTCCACGTTAAACAATTACCTCTATTTAAAAATATAAAATATTTTTAACGAATCTCACTTTTTAATAAAATAATTATTTATTTTTAAATTAATTATATCTTTTTATATTTATCCTATTTGATAGGATATTTCACCCTAAAAAAAAATATAAAGTCATTTACTTAATACAGACAGTTTTTTTTAAAATAATAATTATATCTTAAAAGATTAAAAATACTTTATATTTTTAAACATCTAATCCTTCAAAAAAATGTCTTATAATTTTTAATGAAGGGACTATATGTTATCCATCAATTGTCCTAATAATAATGTTACTTTTCTTTTTTAAAAGAGGTGCTAAATTTAAATTTAGCATTCACATTATTAGTGTGCATGCATGGTGTGCGTCTGTTTTTTCTAACGGAAAGGATTAAGGTTGAAATTTTAAAAAACTGAAAACAATTATATATAATCTATTCTCTATACAAGTTTATAAATTGGGACTGCTTAAGCTAGCTTTCAAGTCTTTCTCAAGTTTTTTTTCCCCCTCCAAATATTCGTTTACTCTAATGAATTACATACGCACACGTGTTAGCTTTGGTTTTAGCCTATGAGGCCTATTTCATTAATCTGCGAAACAAGTTATAGCTGAGTCTAGAAAAGTGGGAAAAATGATAAAAACTCTTTTTAAAATAAAAAACTTATAATTTGATCATGTAAAATTTGATAATTTCTTCTAAGTCCCAAGTGATTTATTTGTCAATGAATTTTATGTGAAATGACATTTTTAATGATTGGTAATAGAAAATTGTAATTTCTTAAATTATTTTAACCATGAGTGGAACCACATTTGCAAACATTTATATTAAACTCATCAACGATATAAAATTATTTAAATTTTTTTAATCAAAAAAATTATTGATAAAAAATTATAATTCTTTAAATTATTTTAATCATTGCTGGAATTACATTTGCAATGCTTGTACCAATCTTGTGATTAGTGTCTTTCATTTGTTTTTTTTTTATAAAAGTAAAAATGTCATTTCATTTTAAAATTTGTTGACAAATAAATCTTTTAGAACTTGAAAGAAATTATTATATTTTATGAGATCAAGTTGTTATTTTCTTATTTCAGATGAATTTATCTATCATTTTTCCATAAAAAAATCTGGATCCATCAACTAGTTGATATAAATGATAAGATTCTTGTTACTCAAACAAATAATTGTTGCTTAATCTGGATCTCTTATGTATATAATAATTTAATTGAAACGCTCTATTCATTATTCTCACTATCAAAACCTTGATTGAGATATTCTATCCCGTGGCGGAGTCTATTACTTATGGTCAGCAAAAATATAATTATAATCAATCTGATCCTTTGCGACATTTAATTCCTCACACCCACGCCCCATTGCCACGTGTCGATATGTGCTCCATGGATCTTACCAACGACATTTGGACAAATCTCATCCGCAATTTTGAAGCTATATGGACCGTGGGATGGCGCTTATTTGCCTCCAAAGATATCGACACGTCTTAATTTCTTCTCCTTGATTTCCTCGGACACTTTCGACTTGGTAACCCAATTCCACTTCTCAAAACCCGTTTGGGCTATTACTTAACGAAGCTGATCAAAGTTTATCAAATACGAATCCATTAAATCGAATTTAGATACAAATGTTTTATTTCATTTATAAATTTAACGGTTTTCAATTTAAAATATATAATTAAAAGAGACGGCACAAAAAGAGATTTCTCAAAGCCGCCATGACTATGACTGTGACCGTGAGCAGCAGCATTTTCAGATTTCAATCCGGACATGTAATTAAAAAAGGGTTCATTTTCATGGTATATATGAAGCATATTTCTGCAACCTTCAATAAGTGAATATTTAAAAGAATATTAATAATGAATATAATATTTGCAATTATTGATTAAAATTCAAAGAATTTTTTATTACGTCGTTATCAAAATTCTATAACTTGATGGAATGCTAACTTCAAATAAATAATATAGAAATTAAGATGAGATGTCATCATCAACCATCTCCTATAAATGATATAGAAATTAAAGTTTACTTTTGCCTTCAACAAGTGGAAGCTGATTTTTTCATTAGGCAAGAGCATTTTGGTAAGAACAGTCCAAGAAATATAATGTCAAATAAGTCTCATGCTCCTGCAATGAAATTTCAGAATATTTTAGTCTTAATTTATAAACATGTTCCATCCATGGTCCTTTATTAAAATTCTCCCATATTACAACTTCATTATATATTGGTCTCAGAAATAGAGAGAAAGAGAAAGGTAAAGGCCAAGGGTGGAATCTGGAACGTAACATTATGCGCAGTCTGCAATAATGCTTCCTTATATTCATAGATATCATATATAAAAATACATATATCCTTGTGTTCACACTATTCATATATCCTTGTATATGCTCTTTAATGCCTATGGCGAAATGGAGAAGGGCCAAAAAAAAAAATCTCTAAAATAAAAACATAAATACATAGTGTTTGCCCTATGTTGAGGATGATCCGAACATGTATGATATGTATATTTGTATCTATGATTTAATTACTCACAGAGAGGAAGCAGTTTCACACAGTATATGTAGCCGTGTTCAATTTGCGGATCGAGGTTAAACACCCCATTGAACAGTATTGTTGGCTTGTTTAGCAGCATTACGTTGACTTTTAGAGGAATATTAGATTTTTTTTAATATTTAGTATAGATAAGGATAATATATTCTACCAAAATAGCTTAAGCCAATTAGTTAAATACTTTTTAAGTTTATATATTTATAATTTATATTTTAATCTTTAGATGTGAGACTTTTTTTATATTTTAATTTTTTTTTGCTACTTCTTTTTTTTCATTTTCTTCTTCTTTTTGCTTGGGCTTTTACTTTTTTTTTTGGGTTAAATCTCAGAGACATTAGGTCTATTCAATTTTTTCTCATTCTCTCTTTTTCATCTCGTTTTTTCATATTTCATTCTTTAATTTTTTTTCTTTTTTTCTCTCTTTTTTTTGTTTTTTTGTCCCCAATCAAATGGCTCTAATACTATGTTAAATTTTTTATATTAAGTATACTTAAAAATAGTATACTCTACTAAAATAACTTAAATCATTTGGTTATAAAATACTTCCTAAGCTTATATATGTATAATCTATTTTTTTATATTTAAATATGAGACTTCTTTTTATATTCTAATAGTGGCATCCTCATCATGACTATCAACGGAAGCAAAACCTTCTGGAGAATCATTAATGTCTGTTCCAAGGAAGCAGCTGAGAGCGCACTTACTAATACGTCTCTCTCTAGTGGCCTTGTGGAAGCTTCCTCGTTCAAGCACATGGCTGCCACACTGCTTGGCTCAGTGCTTTTACAGGAAAGTTTCCTTTCAGAAGAGGATCTGCCAGTTCTGGTTGCCTATGAGGGTCCTTGAATATTGTTTGTGCCTGCACATTGGTGTCAAAAGAAAGAATTCAATACTTATATTAGGTGGTATAAATGGGAGGATCATGAATATTAGATGTCTGATAGTCCCATATTAAGTAATTAATTAGAGTATTAATGACAACTTTTTTTGGTAACAATTAATTACAATTAGAACTTTATAAATATGTGGTGAATCCTGTCCTTTTAAAATTGTTTTTGTCATTTTAATTAAGTGACAAGCCTTAGTTTCTAACCAATGTTAAATTTTATTATGATATCAAAGCCTGGTTCATCATTAACTAGTGGTAAGTCCCTAGCTTAGTTTTTGCACATTTCAGTATTTTACATCATTTTATTATTTTTTATAAAATAGAAAATATTCTTTCTTTCTTTAAAAGGTAGACGTCATTTAAATTAACATATCCTAAGTTCAGAGAAAATCTGGTATTCCATTTATTGATATAAAAGGGTCCCACAAACATATATAGTGTGTGTGGAGGAGGGGTATAGAAGGAAATTATTCATCCAGTTGTTATATAACAAAGAATAAGCACGCTTTAATTCAAAGAGACGGCACATAAAGATCTATATATTTCTTAGCCGCCATGACTAAGAAGCTTCGTCTTCATGGCTCTGAAGCATTACTACAACTTGGCTCATGGTGGCCCTTTCATCTTTGTCATCCTCCATGCACTTCAAAGCCACACTTGCCAAAGCTTCTATCTTCCTCATCTCAATCTCATACTTTGATGAAATGGCAGGATTCATTATCTGCTCTACCCAGCAACATGACCCTTCCCGATCCGACGTCGTTTTCTTCTTCTTCTCTCTCACCCACGGCACAAGCCTCCCGTTCACTGCCTCCTCTCCTTCTTCACTCTGACTTGCCATCACCGTCGGACTCCTTCCCCTTATCATCAACAAAACAATCCCATAGCTATACACATCCACCTTTGACGTTATTGGCTGATTTAGGTGTGATAAGTTATGTGCCTATTGTTATATATTGTGACAGAAAGGTGGCAATATAGATTGCCTTGAATCCAATGTTTCATGAATGAACAAAACACATTGAGATTGATTACTACTTCATGAGGGAGAAGTTGCGGTTAGGATTAATCACAATTCAATATATATCTTCAGCTGAACAACAGGTGGATATACTCACAAAAGCATTAGGTAAAGGGAGCCATGAGAAACTACTAAATAAGTTAAGAACCTTAAATTTATTCGGTTCTAACTTGAGGGGGAGTGTAAAAAATAATTCCTAATTGGATTATATTGTTGCATTCTCCAGTGTTATATTTGATGTTTTGTATTCAGACTGTAGAGTTTTTCTCCTGGGCTTATTTGCCACAATAAAGTATTATCCAGTTTATTTTTGTTTTTCTATATCCTCAGCCCAGCATCGGAGAGAATAAGGTTTCCTGTTCTGAGGAGGGAAAGTGTTGACCTTTTTCCATTGACAGGTTGGTTACGATTGGCTGTCCAAAGCACATTCGAGATCGGCGAATATTGAGGTGGGTGGCTGAACCAGATAGCAAAGACACATGCGTTTTCACCAATAACATAGAAGCCGGCAGTGAAGGTGCCATTTGGTGAGACAAGAATATCTTCTGGTTTACCCACCGAGAGGGATAAGCCACTGTTAAGTGTTGATGATGACAATGAAGATCACTGGAAAGACGCAGATAGAAGAAGAAGAAGAAGAAGAAGGTGCGAGATTGATGAAACAGACATGTCAATCATTTTAAGGTTGTTTGTTATTTTCAAGATATGTGAATCAAAGGACCAACAGTTGGGTTGGATTTAAATAAAAAACATGATAGGCATGTCAGCGAGAGTCAGTCTTCGCCAATAGCAGATTGAGGGTTTCTTAATTATTATTATTATTATTATTATTACTACTACTCCTACCCTTTCATTGCTTCTGATTGTCAATTGTCTGATGGCCATATGCAAGCCACCTCAACAAAGTCATATGTTATATCCAATAGAAAACCCTTGACTTTTATTAGCCTCAAATATCATTACTGGTAGTGGCAAATAGCCAAAAACAAAAAAGTAGTTTTGATAGTAATTTTAAAGAAACTTATATAGAATTTAATTATTATACTTTTATCTTCAAATTTTATTTAAAATATGATAAACATAACATTTTGATAATAAATATAATATCTCAGTCAACACGTACAATTCACTGCTTTATTTGATATTGATTATGATTGGCAATAACCACATATTCTCTAGAGAGAGTAGGTCCAGTTTTTTTTTTTAATAGTAAATTTCCTCTGATGTTTTCATTTTTTTTTCTTTTATTTAACCAACATTTTTCCCGGTTAAGTACATGGGCTGCCATCAAATAATACAACTTCGAAAAAACAGTAATTAGGGAAACGCATATTTCAGAAATTAAATCTGTAGTTTTAGTTCTGATATTAATTGCGTATTTGGTAGTTTTTAGAAGCTATAACTTCGAGGATATAATTTAGTCTTTTACGTTTTTACTACGTTTTATTATTTTGATCACTCAAAATAATTAAATTATACGTCAATTTAACTTTAATTAATCCTGGGAAAATTTAATTATCGTTCGATGCCATCCTTATGTATGTTTACATTACATCGTTTGACCTAGTTCTTTAATGCATGGAAGAATAATGTTGTATATGAAATATATATTTTTTCTAGTTCTTATTATAAAACAATTTCATTATTTTTTCTTGAAGTTGTTAAAAAATGAAATAAACTTTTATTTTTACTCTAGACATTAAATAATGATGTAACCCATGCCCATGCTTTAAATGCCTTTCGTAAACAACACATGATTCATCTCATGTTAATAAAAAAAAAGGCTAAAATTGAGGGGGGAAATTGTTTAAATATTACAAAATATCCTAGATTTTGAATCAAAAATTGTTTCAAGAAAATGTCATACAATTAGGATCAGAGGAAGTATATTGCTATATAGCTTAGAAAAAAGACATTTCATGTGAATGTGCAGAATATTATTAATGAACACACACACACATGAATCGATTAATGAGTAAATGTTAACTCATAGGTTGCCGATGGAAAGTACCATATAGGATAGAATTAAATTTAATAATTAATATATAATAAATGATTCATAAGTTTAAATCTTAAAATTTTAAGTTAAGATATTACATCCTTTCACTACTTTTACTTGTCTCTCTTCTCCTTTTGTTTCTAGACAGTCGCTCCACATTCCTAACATTAACTTTTTTTTTTGGTTTACGAACATTCCAAACATCAACTTTAAAGAATTGATGTATTAGAAATTAAGTGGAGAAGTCATCAACCTAACTTCTATGAAATTAAAAATACAGATATCATTATGCTAACAGTTTTAAAAAAAATGTAACAATTTTAAATTTGTGAAGAGACATCTCAATTTGTGTTAGATTACATGTTTCAAAAATAAGCAACTATATCTTTTCAAAGTAAAATAATTTCAAACGATTGCTGGCGCGGGCACACGAGCTGTACGAGTAAGCACGACTTGACGATAACAATTAACAAGTTAATAGTTAATTCTAATTTCTATGGGTGACAGTTAATCTAAAGGATCAACTGGTACTAATCGATACCATTGAGAAACTTAACATGTATAAAGCAATTTGCAAAGATATAAAAGTTTGTATAAAACTACTTGACACGCATGTGACACACATTGAGTAACTTTTTAAATAAGCTGCTTCAAGACCACGCAAGCGTATAGATTAGTACAAATGGGCAATATTGAGGCAAGTTGGCCGAGTTTGCATTCTTAGTTTGTCACTATAACAAAAACAGGATGGGTTTTTCTCCATTACGTTTTTCATCCACTGTTTCTCTACTGCAAATTTAAACAATTCAAATTAAATTTATATTTTTGAAAATTATCAAATTTAAGTCATCAAATCTAATTAAATGGTCCAGATTTGTAGTAGTTTCTCTACTGTAGAGAAGGAAAGCCAACTCTAACAAACAATTGTCTTCCAAAACAAATAATCGTCTTCCAAAATAAGTGATGAAACCTGTAGCAAAATTCAATTTATTATGGTTAGGTTTATCTTGACAGGCTGGTAATCGCATGGTTTTAACCATAACCATGTCTATTAAATATATATATATATATATATATGTACAACAACAACAACAACAACAACAACCAGCCTTATTCGCCTTATCCTACTAGGTGGGGTCAGCTATATGGATTATATGATGCTATTGTGCTATATCATTTATTAAGTTTTTAAAAATATTATTAATTAAAATATCTCGCTCAATAACCTCCAAAAGCGTTCTTTTTTGTCTTCCTCTACCTTTTTTGACAAGGCTCAAAGTCATCTATTCTACCTTTCTCACAAGTGCCTCCCATCGTCTTCTTTGTACATGTTCGAACTATCTTAAATGATTTTCTACCATTTTTTCTTCAATAAGTGCCACACCCACTTTTTCCCTATTCGCTCATTTGGAATTTTGTCTTTACGGGTATATCCACATATCTATCTCAACATTTTTATCTTTGCTCTTCCAACTTTAGGTTCTTACTGTCTCATCAGAACCTAACATTTACTATCATATAAAATTGCTGGTTTCATAGTAGTTCGATGAAACTTTTCTTTAAGCTTATCAGGTACCTTATGATCGCAAATAACTTCTTTAGCCTTTCTCTAATTAAACTACTCTGCTTGTATTTTATGTGTAATATCTCCATCAATGTTTCTATTTTGTTGAATAATTGCTCCCAAATATCTAAACTTTTTCACTTGAGGTATGATTTGATCACCTAATTTTACTTCCAAGTTACTACTCACTTACCCTTTATCAAAATTGCAATGTAAATATTCTATTTTACTCCTACACAAGCGGAAACCTTTTAACTCTAATGTCTTCCTCCATAACTCAAGTTTGCAATTTATCTCTTCTCTTGTGTCTGCAATAAGAACTATATCATCTACAAAAAGCATGCATTTAGGAATTTCCTCTTAAATATGTTCAGTCAAAACATCTAACACTAGATCAAACAAATAAGGACTCAAGGATAATCCTTGATGCAATCTAATCTTTATAGGAAAATCTTTTGTTTCACGACCAAGCATTCTTATACTAGTTGTTGCTCCCTTATACATATCTTGTATAGCTCGAATCTACACAACACCGACACCCTTCTTTTCTAAAGCCTTTCAAAGTACTTTTCTCGATACACGAACATAAGCTTTTTTCAAATAAATGAAAATCATATGTAAATCTTTGCCTTTACATCAATACTTTTTCATTAATCCCCTTAGTAGATAAATCACTTTTATATTTGCTCTCCCTTGCATGAAGCTAAACTGATTCTCCGAAATCTTAATTTTTAATCTCAACCTGTGTTCAATCACTCTTTCCTATAATTTCATAGTATAACTCATAAGTTTAATCCCTCTGTAGTTAGCACAATTTTAAATATCTCTTTTATTTTTATATATAGGAACTAAGATGCTTCTCCTCTAATCGTTCGACATTCTCTTGGATTGTAAGATCTTGTTAAATAACTTAGTTAACTACTGCACTCTTTCTTCACCTAAATATTTTCACATTTCAATAGAGATACAATCTGGTCCATTAGCTCTATCATTTGCCATTTTCTTAAGAGCTTCTCTCACTTCCTAAGCTTGTATTCTTTGATAAAAAAACACAAATTTTGCTCTCTTTTAGAAATGACTAAATCTTCCAAGTTAATTGACAACCCCCCATCATCATTGAAAAGCTTAAAAAAGTATGCCTCCTATCTGTCTTTAATATCGTTATTTGTGATCAAAATATTTTTCTCTTCATCTTTTATACACCTTACTTGTTCCAAATCTCTTGATTTTCTTTCTTTACACATAGCAATCTTATAAATTTTTTGTTCTCTATCCTTTGTCTTAAGATCATTATAAAAATCTTCAAATGCTTTAGAACGAGCTTCACTCATGACCCTCTTAGTTTTAGCCATACAATACTTTTCTCAATTTTCATCATGATTGCATAAATGAATGGCTTTGAAATACTCTTTCTTATACTTAATTTTTTTTTGTATGCTATCATTCCACCACCAAAACTCCTTATCTCTTGAACCAAAACCTCTTGATTCTCCCAAAACTTCTCTTGCAACCTTCCTTACCTTCATAGTCAAGTCTTTCCACAAGGTATTATCACTTTCTTGACACTCCTAAATTCCTTCAGCCAAGAGATTTCCCTTGAATATTTCTCTCTTTTCACCTTTTAATTGCCACCACCTAATTCTTGGAGTTATTACTTGTCGACGCTTTTGGTTTTTACTTATAATATATACATCAAGGATAAGGATCCTGTGTTGTGCCATAACAGCATCCCCAGGAATCACCTTATAGTTTTTACAAATCTTTTATCCGCATTTCTTACCAAAAAGAAATCAATCTGTGACCTTGAAGCTCTGCTTTTATAAGTGATGAGATGCTCATCCTTCTTCTTGAAACAAGAATTAGCAATCTTAAAATTATATGCTAAAGAGAAATTCAAGATATGTTGTCCTTCATTATTTAGTTTCCCAAAACCCAAACCACCATGCACCCTCATATAATGA